TTCGTACTAATAAAACAGAATCCTCCTTCAAAACACTCTCTCACACTCTCTCCTTGACTCTTCCTTTCAGTAGGCACGAAGATTAGTAGGCAAAAAGATATGAGGCAAAATTCTAATTGGACTTTATATAGGAAAGACACAAAAAACCGTCCAAAAAATTGCTGATTTCAAGTCTTTATAAAGTGGATCGTCCCATATGAATCGTGGGATGTTCCTGGACGAACTTACTTAAATCAGTTCATACGAACCTAATGATATTGGTAGAATTGACTTCGTACCTGATTATCGTCCCGTACGAAACTAAGTTTTCGTCCGGTGCAACTAGTTATACCATAGGCCGGTTTGACAAACTGCAGGAAGTTATCAAAATTGGAAATATAAAACATTTTCCGTCCTGGGACGATAAAGAGTTCTACTGGATGAAAATTTTCTTACAGAGAGCATTTCATTCCTAGGCCGATAGAGAACTCGTCTGAATGAAAATTTTCAGAGCAGCATTTCATCCTGGGACGAATTAAAATTTATCTGGATGAAATTTTACAGAGAGCATTCGCTTCCAGCAATATATATGATTTCGTTAGACAAAAAATTTTCCAGAGAGGATTTCATTCTAGGATGGAGATTGAAGTTCGTTTGTAGAAATTTTAATGCCAGCAGAGTAGATATCGTCCTTGCAACGAACAGGATTCTTTTGAATGAACAAAATTCTTCCAGAGAAGTATTTCACCTGGGAGTGAATAGAAAAAAATTCGTCTAGACGATCCGGACTTAGAAAAATTTCTTCACTTCTCGTTGTGTTCCATTGCGCTTCCGAGGGGAATAAATGCTACTTGATGTCCCGTATGAACATGGTTCAATCCCGTGTGATCATGTATGAATTTTAAAAGTATCTCGCCCAGGTGTGTGGTGTACTAAATTACCTAATTACAATCACTCCCTCTCAACTCATACAATAAAATAAAGTATAAGATCTTATCAAATTCCTCATTCTGATTTTGATTTGATCGTTCATTAGCATGGAAGTCAATTATCCTGAAAATGTAGTCCCATAAGAGAAAAAATATTCTTCAAAAAGTTGTATGGAGAATCACACAGAAACCAGTTTTATTACCGGCGGATTATATGCCACACCGCAAACAGAAAGGGTAACCATGTTGAAATCCGACGATTTGGGTGATGGAGTTTCCGGAGACTTTTCCGAGCCAGCATGTCGCTGCGCCGTTTGGTTCGCGTCCCGTAAAGGACTTTTCCGGTCGGTAAATATCCTCTCAACAGCTGCCACCATGACATCCACCGTTACCTTGAAACTCTCTCCTACTCTTACTACCTAAGCTACCTTCCAGAGCACAATAGCCACGATCTTTCCGAGTAACAAAATTCCACTGGGGAAAATATTTCGTCAACCACAAATTTCTCCACACTCTCAATAGTATCTCCACTCGTGCTAAATGACGCGCGAGTCTCCTCACCATAGTCTCCAAATCCTACATAACACCAACTCACCTCCATTTTCTTATGCCCAATCAAATAAGCCTCTGTCACAATAAATAGACAGACCCTCAATCGAAACCTCACGACCACTAACAACCCACATTGATCGATAACAAACGCGCAGATACCAAATCTTGCTTCGCTTCAGAGCTATCCTCCCATCTGTCTAGCGAGCTGAATCTGAACCCGCCCCGCCCTGCCCGTGAACTGTGCAGCTTCGCACAAATCAGACCAATGCTGACGTATCACGACCACCCAACGCCTGCTTGACGTTATCCCTACCCACCCCGCGCGGGTTTTCCCAGTCATCTGGCTTCACTCTCTACGAGCAGCAACTCATAATATGATATGGCTTCTGATGTTTCTAAGTAGGTCTTTCAAGATATTTAATCTTCATAAAACAAGTGGTTTGGAAAACTAGAACGAAAAAAAATAATTACCTGGAACTTGTAGTAGATCTGACACATGTAGTCTACATAACGCACAATGATTCAGTTGTATAATATAAACTAGACGATTATAGTGAGGGGTAAATGGTTGATGTAACAAATTTAATCGCCAATTATTGATTTTTACTTTGCATACTCTTTGGGGCAAAAGCTCAATGTACTCTAC